TGTGCTCCCAACTAGAAAATGGTCAACCGTGTCATTTTTTCAAAGAATACTAGCCTGAAGCGTGCGGAGTGAGGGAAGGGCATTCGTCTTGAAACATGAAAGTATGTGGGAGGGCAGTGGACTTAGGGTTACTGACAGATGCTTGGTGAGACAACTGCTGTGCTTGTACCCTTTCCCACATTTTTCACATCTCAATTCGCTACCACTTGTTCTTTTGCTTTCACCTTTGGTCAGACGGGAGCCTTCACTCGCGCGCCGTATGCGTGCTTTGCTGTTGCCCTTCTCATGCTCTGCCATGGTGGCGAGAGGAGGCCCGTCGGTGATGGCAGCTTCAGTCTTGGCGGTGCCTGCACCATAGCTTCCTGGCGCAAACACCGACCCGTTGCTGGGGACGCTGCTGGCCATGGACGGGTAGTTGCTCAGATTCGGCCTTCGAAAACCAGACGCCGGCTTTGACACACGGCGAGCCGGCGCGCTGCCTTCCAGAGGCGCCCCAGACATTCCCTTCGCGGCCGCAGCCATGGCGGCCACATTGCTCGCGGCCGTCGAGGACATGCTTTTCCTGCGCGTCACCCGGTGTGCCGGATTTATAGAGCCTACAGACAACGAGTGTGAGTGCGGGCGGGACTTGGGGAGCGAGCCGGCCATGTTGGAGGAGTGTCGGTGCTGGCTGCTTGGGCGGGCCGTGATCGGTTCCTGCAGTGAGAGAGCGGGCGTCAGCGCGAGAGCAATTGAGCTGTGCGAATGCAATTGCCAAAGACAGATGCGTACCTTGAGAACGGTCATTTTTTTAAAAAAATGGTTTGAAGGGCTCTCCTGTTCTCGCGGGCTTTGTTCGAAGCTGCGAGGGAGGGCCAGAAAGTCGAGTGCTGTCAGACAAAAAGTTGCACAGCCCTGACAGCTCGGACACTCTGGTTGACAGCGGAGAGGCAAGCGAGTTTGAGGTTCGGGCGTGATCTGAGCAGTGCAGGTCGTGGGCGAGCGCCGTGCAATCGATTGTGGTGTTATGAGGCCGGTTTTGCGAGAGAAACAGGTGAGAAGGGCGAGGGCGGCTGAGTCTCTTTCAAAAAATATGAACAGATGGTGGAATGCTATTGCGGTGGACCCCACCGAGAACAACCGTGCCTCTCGATATTGCGTTACACACTGACCGGGACGTTTCGCATGCAGGCGCCTGCGCAGGACCTGTTCTATGCGTGGGTTTCAGCGGAGATGAGCAGACAAAGAGGAGCAGAAAGACTTGCACGAATATGAAGAGGGCAGCGGGCAGCTGGACAGCGGAAATATTTATTGCAGACTGAGCACGAGGCGGCTTTGGGTGAGCAGCATGGCGGCTTTGGGGTCATTCGGACCCATTTTCCGCGCAGTGGCCGGTTAGCGCAGCGCGATCACTGATAGGGTCGGACACCTAGGTACAAGAGGGGATGAGAATGATGAGTGGCTGATGCGCAAAATAATGGATGAATGTTTCTATTCTTGCCCTGACTGGCTGAGGCTTGAAATTGCTGCTCCAACGCATCGATCGCAGGAACAGAAACACGTCGCCCACCTTGAAACATGCAGTCGGAGACTGATGGGAGCTGAAAACACTGTACCTCAAACCTCGCTCACGACCTTTCGTTTCGCTGCTGGTGCTTAGGGATTGCCGGCACAGAGCCCTCTGTTTGTAGGTTCCTGGCTCAACGCAGGACGCGACGCTAGAGGGCTTGCCCACCACACTTGAATATTGACCCCAGCGCCTGATTTGATGTGCTTTGGCAGCCGCCAGCGCTGCTTTGGGACGACATGGCCGATCTTCACCTGCCATTACTGCTTAGGTCTCGAGGCCCACTCCCGCGGATCAGGATTGCCAGTCCAAGAGAAGCCAAGTGGAGAACTGCGCGAGCGCGAGCTGTGCCTCGATCTCAGCAATCCCTTCTCGTACTGGCAAGAGAGCAGCACAGCGATCTCCAGATGGGCAGAACCACTGCTCTGTGCTCGGCACCTTGTGTGGCTGAACATGTGCTCTCTGATGGAGGGGTCCAGATAGCAGCAGCCGTACGGTTCTGTCGTTGCGAGCGGCCTCTGAGATAGAGACAACAGCTTGGCAGCATCTCGATCGGCCCCATGCGCCTGCACATTAGCAGAATCAAGGCCCAGGCTCCCAATAATACGTGCCATCAAGCCACCTCCTCACCTGTTGTCGTGGGGTCGCCAGGGAATGCTGCCACAGATGACAGACGCGACAGCAAGAACAAAAATGCCGCTCGCTGGCGACCCCGTATTTTGTCATGCAAGTCATGTCTAGATCAAACTCAAGATCGGGAACGCCATGTCGCCGTCAGAGCTGCGCGATCAACACTGTCCCGTAGCGGACCGTCCGGAGGCCTGATAGCTTCCAGCAATTGGAGCTCAGCGTGCGAGATTTTTTTTTTTTCTGGCCTTTCAAAAGGTGCTGTCTCATGATCCAATAGCAGTACATGGATTTAGCTCCATATGTCTCTCAAATGTGGGAAGGGATGGGTTAAAGCCATCTTTGTTCTTGCTATGTCTTCTCCGGGGTTCCCCCAACAGCACTTCATCATGCAGGTGCTGAGGGGTCCACTCTAATTCCATGTCAGCGAGAACTCGCCCAGATGGCTTCCGTTAACCCAAGGTTCCGGATAAGGTCGACCGTGAAGCTTCATAAATTAACCCACGGCTGAGGCTCTCGGGGTGATTGTCATGCTTATCAGGCAAGCGACGTTTGAGCGAGGACGAGGGTGAATTGCAGTTCTTCATACTCGGTACGTCGACAATTTGATAGAACCGTGGGTTAAGAGACGCATTCTCAAATTGTACTAAAGCGATGCTTGGCCCGCTATAGTCATCCATGGGGCTATTGCTCGTTCCTGTTGTTGGCATCAGTTTCCGTTGCGTGCCTAAAAAGTGTTTCAACCAATTTCAACTTGACGGCTTGACGCCACAGTCAAATATTTGGCCAGCGCGTCGCGTCTCCTGTCGAAATCTTGAATTCCTCTCGCCCTCGTCTTCAAACCTCGTCAAACCTCGTCTGAGTCAGATATATCCTCTGTTTAACCCATTGAGGAGTGAAATACGGCAGCAGCGTTAGGCGGCTCTTGCTACCTAGTAAGATGCTGATTCGGATGCTGATGCTGATTAATTCAGAATATCTTCACCTTTCCACTTCCTTAGCTCTTCCCCAACTCACGCCGCACAGTACTCAGCTCTTCGTTCATAGTTAAGGTCAAGGGCTGTTCAAATTGGGCGCGAGAGAGAGATCTCCTTCTGTATGCTACGGCTTGATACACGTTTGTTCAGCTGTGGGATATCTGTTCTCGTTGATACATTGACCCGCCACTCTAGAAACGAGGTCAAGTACCTTTTTCTATCTTTACTTTTCAGCTTCTTGGTCTTGAGCACGTACCAAGTGCTGCCAAAGTCTCTTATATCACGTGACTGTGTTTGAACAGTCAGCTGGCACAAAGCAGCATATCAAAATCTCACTTCGAACAATAAACTAGCCTGGATTATGAACCCTAAGAGTCTGTGCCGACAAAGAGCGCAATATGTCACACCAAATGTGAACGTGTATTCATAAGGCTCATTGGATTCAGCCAGATGGGAAGGCCAACAATTATATCCATATCCATGTGCCGTATTTCCATACTGCTGTACTCGAAATGATCCTTAAAGCGGCAATGGAAAAGATAAGCTCTGCTATCACCTTTGTTATTCATTCATCCTCAGGACACGTTCTTCGTCTATTATCGACTTCAATTTTCTTCATCGACGTCCCAGTCCATGGTCTTTGGCTCACATAACTGACGTGTTCTTTTTGGTACACCGCATCTTTTCCTATTGGCGGTCTAATATGATGGAGACATCCACCCGCCAAGCATAATACTTCTGCGCAACCGCAAAGAGAAGCAAGCTTGAATCTCAGCTGGCCGATATCCCGATGCGTCCAGCTGAAATTTTCTTCGCGTGTTCAAGAAACTTGGCCTGTGAAGTTTGATCGTCCAGTTTATTGCTGATAGGACGCTCACGAACGTCCCAGAGCTTTCCCTCGAAGCCTAAGGTTTGACCTTGCGAGAATTCTGGACCGACAGTGGGAGATTCCAGTGCGGCTTCGTTATGGCTGCGTTATAAACCAAAGATTGGGAACATTGTGGACATCTGCACAAAGGTTTTCAGCTCTGGTCGTATCTGGCTTAGGTTTCCACCGCTTCCCGACGCCTCAAATGCTTCAATTCGTTCATTGATCGCTCGGCATGCTTGGCCTGAATAAAGATCTCAAACGACAAGGCAGAGTGAGAGAGGACATCAAGCCGCGTCGAGGAAAGCGATCATGGGCTGCATGGTGTTCGTAGCGGTGCCAAATAGTGGACCTTAAAAAGTGAGTCTGGTTCCCAGACACTCCTTCGTTCAACTCTGTCGTCAGTATGTCCCGGTTCATGCTGGCCGTGATATTAGCTTGTGTTACTCCCTTTGCGTTCGCCCAAATCTATCCTTTGTGCGCTGTGAGCCTTTTCCCTGACCAGTCGTAGAAAAGCAAGGCTGACAAGGACTGCCCAGCAACCATGAATTTATGACACTTCTTTAGTCACCCAGGCGGGATGTCTGATCATAGATGACTATTCCTTGTGCACAAGTTCATCATACATCACCGACATGACTTGCTGTATTCGGGCAGATTGTGATTCTTCGGATCAATCGAGTATGGTACCCGACCTACCCACACGCCCCGTTGGTTAACTTCAGAATCCATAGGTGCTATCGATGAAGCCGCCTATGTCTGCAGCACGTACGTTCAATGTATCTGTACCATTTCTTGAATGGTTTTTGAAGGAGCCTACGAGACTTTCTGCTAGAACTAAATTTCAGTGAGACTACATACAGTTGACAATGCCACAGATGGGGAGTGTCACTGAATACACAGGCCTCAGTCCCATGCAGCAGTACTACGACCCGTACGTCTTAAAAACCCAAACTCTATCTGTATCCGCATCACTTAAGCTAACGGCCGAATGGCTTCTCGTACTCGAAGCCCGATTTCATCTGCCACCGAGAGCTCCGGCCTCACCAACCCAAGATCCTACAAATCCACCTCCAGAAAGAAAGGCCTGTCAATAGCCATAAATGCCGGCATCGGCGCTGGCATCGTAATCGGCCTTCTCTCCGTCGGCGCAAGTCTTCTTCCTTCTCAAACGACGAAGTGACAGGGCAAAACAACCCTCATCACTCGTCCGTCCACCCGTCATGGTTGGCTCTCCAGGAGGATTTGATAATAAGATTAATCCGCAAGTCGCAGTCACGGCGGTTTCTCCACCGTATGCACCGCAGCCCCCATCCCAGCCCCAACCAAATCAATTCTCGCTCCAAGCACCGCAGCCGGTGTATCCCCCACAACCGCAAATGCCTCCTCTTCCACAGCAACAGTTTCCACAGTATGGTGGACCGCAGTCGCCTGTTAGTCTACCGCCACAATTTGTTTCGCCTCCATCATCACTGCTGCCACGCGGGTTGGAGTTGCAAGGGAGTCTGGTTGCGCAGCAGCAACAGCAACAGAGCACAAGAGCGTTTGATGGGGCCAAACTACCTTCCGGGACTGTGCAACGGCCACATGAGCTTTCATGAATCCTAATGATTACCAGTTTAAGATTCTATGTCTGGATCAGCATGATGGGCGTTGATCAGATATAGCTTGGAGTTTAGGACGTAATATACCAAAGATTGGTGCGGAAGTGTGCATATTACATTTGAATTTTACATGTAGTGCAGACATGTTTTTGTTCTTTGTCTATCTTGAACTTGCAAATACCATCTCAATACCTCAGTCGTTGCCCTACGATATCGAAGCATGAATTCACTTCACCCCTTTCATTTTTCAACATCATACTGGACACGAATTCCTACACTCCACCAGACTTAAAGTCAATCTCCATACCTTAATCTCATACGTACCACCTCCTAGTCTCCCCGCACACTCCTTTTCTCTTCCTCCTAACACCCCACTCCTTCTCTCCTCAACCATTACATCAAAACTCTCTCATTCTCCTTCCCGATCAAATTTCTACTCCTGCACCACTCCCTCAGATATGGGCTTCTGAAAGTTTCTTTCGAGTACTCGAGTGGTTGTAAAAGTAGCCTAAGCAGCTCATTATTGCGAAGTTAGAGGGAAAGGTGAAGGGAGTGTTGGGTGGTTGCGCCTGGTAGCGTTTTGAGTGATTTGTATTGTAAGGTTGGGGGGGAAGTGATGCGAGGGCTGCACGGGGAGAGGGTCATGTTGGTTTGAGATGGGACGGGAATGAATGGTAAGGATGATAGTGTGGAGTGGAACGTGATGTCGGGAGTCTCAGTTCAGAGGAAGCGTGGGGCGAGTGAAGGCTGGTATATACCTTTGGATGTGAAAAAGCTCTTATTAGCAGAGGATCGGGGTTGGGATTTTGGGTGTATAATAGAAAGATTTACTCCTGCCCTCCCCCTATATCCCCGAACTCCTAGGACATACCCTTCACCATGAGAGATTGACGACTTGCGACTCTTTCGATGCACAGCACAAGCAACACAGCTCTTTCGTATGTGCAATCACATGGTGAAAATATTGTACCTAAATTGCACTACCACCACTCATTTTACACTCTCCCTATTATACAAACCCCGTCGACGGAGCATGGGACAGTCTAATGATACAATACACACATCTGCGCTCCCAAAGAGTGGAATGAGAGCCCAATGCTAAAACGCTAAGAAAGTCTGTAGATGAATCTATGCAACTATGCCCAAAATGGGACCTTTTTGACCTAACCTCACCGCCTTGCATCCAAATCTGTGCTTTTGAATGCAGGTGCAGGCGGCACAACCGGTCCCTTAACCCCCGTATCACCCCCCGGACTCGGTTCCTGTCCCGGTACTCTCCCATGCTCACCTCCAAAATACTTATGGAAATCCTGCGGATCTTCAAAAGGTCGTGGACCGAGTAACCTAATCATATCCTCACGTCCCAACATCTCTTTCTTCAGCAACTCATCCGCTACCAGACCCACTTCATTTTTCTTCTCGGTCAATAGATCCTTGCACTGTTTATATGCCTCATCGACAATACGCTTGACTTCCATATCGATATTCTTAGCCGTTTCTTCTGAGAAAGGTTTGTGGAGTTGCTGTTGTTGGTCGTCTTCGAAGTAGATGTAGCCGATCTTCTTGGTCATGCCCCATTTTGTGACCATGGCTGTTGCCATTTGAGTTACCTTTCGGAAATCGTCCGATGCACCGGATGTGACGGTGTCGAAGTGGAGTTCCTCGCTGACGCGGCCACCAAGAGTCATGGCCATTCGATCCATGAGCTGGTTGACATTCATGAGGTAGGTATCGCCTGCGGGTAAGTACTGCGCATAACCAAGGGCACCTTGACCGCGGGGAATGATGGAGACTTTGAGAAGAGGATCGGCGTATTTGAAATACCAACCGCAGATGGCATGGCCTGCTTCGTGATATGCGACTGTCTTCTTCTCTTCCGGCTTGAGCACCAATGATTTCTTCTCGAGACCACCGATCACACGCTCGATCGCTTGTTCGAAATGCACCATAGTTACAGAATCGGCTTGATGGCGGGCAGCTAGACAGATTAGTATGAATGACCGACGAGTTGTGCGCGATGTGTCTTACCTATCAGCGCAGCTTCATTGACACAGTTGGCAATATCTGCACCCGAGAACCCGGGCGTGAGAGCTGCCAGCCTGCCTTTGAGGAATTCTGTATCTTCGTTCGTGATGATCTTCTTGAGATGAACGGCGAAAATCTGCGATCGTCCCTCCATTGTCGGTCGGTCGATATTAATATGTCTATCAAAACGACCAGGTCGCATAAGGGCTTTATCTAGAACGTCAGGTCGATTAGTACCGGCAAGCACGACAACTTGCTCCGTCGTATTGAAACCGTCCATCTCAGTCAAGATTTGATTGAGAGTGGCTTCTCGTTCGTCATTGCCGCCGCCGAAATTGTTCTTCGCCCGTGACCTTCCGATGGCGTCGATTTCGTCGATGAAGATGATGCAGGGGGTGCTTTTTCGTGCATTGGCGAACAGATCTCGGACACGTGATGCACCAACACCAACAAACATTTCCACGAATTCCGAACCGCTGACACTGAAAAAGGGAACACCAGACTCTCCGGCAGTGGCCTTGGCGAGCAGTGTTTTACCTGTTCCAGGCGGTCCGGAAAGAATGGCACCACGAGGGATCTTGGCTCCAAGCTTCTGAAACCTACTGGGCTCTTTGAGGAAGCTGACGAATTCCATAATCTCCTGTTTAGCCTCATCCATGCCAGCAACATCTGCAAACTTGACCTTGATGTCTGTTTCATGGTTGAATCTCTTTGCCCTACTCCTGCCCATGCCGAAAATGCCACTGTTACCACCTGCGCCACTCCCTGCGCGCCTTGTGAAGTAGAACAACGAACCGAGAAGGAGAAGGGTGGGCCCGAAGGACAGTAGGGTAGCGAACCATGATATTTCGTTGGAATAGGCAACAGGGATGCGCTCCGAGCTCGGGATACCCAATTCATATTGTGCATCATCCATTTTCCTCTCAAAAGCCTCAACCGATCCGATTGTGAAATAGTAGTAGAAATTGTTGCTGGTAGCAGGAGACTCCGGATACATTGACGCAACAGCTTCCCGGTGCAGATGTACCTTTGCCTTGTTGCCGTTCAATATCACAATCTTCTCCACCAAGCCCTTGTCCAAAAATGTTGTCCTGAATTCTTGCCATGTTATTTCCTTGGTGTTCTCGCCGGGAACTAACATTCGGTAAATGAGGTACGATACAAAGGCGGTCGTAATCGTTGTGCTCCAGTCCATATTCTTGTCAATCTTTGGACCCGATTTGCCCTGCTGCTTCCCCTGTTGCTCTTGTCCTTGTGGCCCAGGATCGTGCGCGCCAGCTTTCTGCTGCGGCTCCTCATTCTTGTTCTGGTTAAACATTTGCTGTTCTGCCACCTTCCGGGACATTTGGGACGTTAACCGGGACAGCTTTGCTGCTGTAGCAAGATCCAGCTTTTCGCCTCTCTGTAGCTTCTCCATCTCTTCGCGTATCTCTTCGGGTACCCCCTGCTTCTTGATCTCCTCGACGGCCGTTTTCAAATGTTTGACCTGCTCGGCGGGCATTCCCATTGAAACGAAGGACACGAGCTGATCCAGTAATTTCTCCTCCTCGGGTGTGAGCTTGGACATGTGCAGTTGTTGCGCCTCCGGCTGTCCATCTTGTTTCGCCTCGGGCTTTTCAGCCTGTGGCTCCTTTGCTTCATCCTTTGCTACCTTGTTATTTTTCTTCTGCTCATTTTTCTGATTTTTGGGCTCCTTGGGTGGGCCGGTCGCGAACCCTCGAAGATGTGGTTGCGTGTATACACAATGAGGTAAAGGTATCGGTCTGCGAGATAAATATGTGGTTCTTGAAGGGACGTTGTGGTTTGGTCTAGCTATTCGCGCAAGGTAACCTGATCGTCGAAGTAGGGTAGACATTGCCGGGAAAGGGACGGTGTGAGGGTAAGAGGAATTAGAGGAATGGCCTGCCCCTTTGGATATCGACCATGCACAAAAAGAAGACAGACGTGAACTGGTAGTGATGGGGCGATGGGGCGATGGCAAAGCTCATCCGATGCTGGTCGAAGGAGTCGTAATTGGGAAGACATTTCGTCCGATAATTCCGCAGTGCTTGGCGCCAAGATATCGCAACTCCCCGGAACCCTCCAACATGCATCTTCCTTCATCACTGCCCTTCAGTCTTCAAACCAAAGCAGTTTATGGTACGAAGAAAGCGTATGTGCATGTCATCAAAGTAATCCCTTTCATGGACATGTTCTTGAGAGTCCATTGCCTTCAGCTGTCCTCGACTGCCGTCATCTCCGATTACCAATGCGTTATGCAGGACGGGCATCTAATCATTTAAACCCATGGATTCAGTTAAACTATGGAGATTTCTCGTCTCTAACCCTCGTCACGTTGCTTACGGATCAAGTAAATATTGCCTAATGGGGCGCCTTCTGGTGATCCGCAAGGAACCCAAGCAATAGTTGAACTGCAACCGGCTTTGAGATTTAGATCCGTCCTGTTCTGGAAAGCGAAATAGCAGTATATATTCCCGAGCGTAGGGAGCTCCCGCCGCCCTTTGGTCATTTTCTTCGGTCTTACTATTTCTTATTTTCCAACATGCGATCACTTGCGCTTCCCTTTCTATTCCTCTCTTTGGCCGGATATGGTCTGGCTCAGACAGACTCTACTGCAACCTACCTTACCGCAACAGCGCTTGTCACGAAAAACAACAACTCTGTGTTCGAGTGTTGGCAGTTGACTGAACCGTTCAAGAGATCATCAGTCCCTGGAGTCAGCGGCACCCAAGTAGCGACCATTAGCAACAACACCAATTTTGCCTACACGATTTTACCTCCACGTTACGATGGTGGCCTTCATACCGCTCCTGCACCACAGTATGATATTCCCTCATTCCCCTCTCAACACGTCATCTTGATGGCCTTAACCAGTCGACCTGTAACTTGGATGGCTACAATCCTGTAGTTACCCGACACACATCTGAACCTAGATCTGACTTCTTTTCAGGCTTGTACACTTCCTATCTGGTGTTGCTCACTTGACTCTTCCACACAATGATTCCTTAGATGCTTGGATTCTTGGTGGAGTAGGTGGATTACTTTTCGCAGTCGATATTACAGGCACTGGCCACATTACGCAGTATCCGTCCGATCAGGAGACTGTTGCTATCACAGCGCCATTTGAAGGGGGCAAGATTCCAGAGCATGTTGT